TTTTTTCACCTAACAAAATACCCTCTGGCCTGTTTTATCATTTTGGAGTCCAAATATATTGTCATCTTTCTTTGATATTTCCCATTAATTGCTCAAACCCCTGTTTGCCTTGATTAGCCGGACACCAAACATCATCCTGATTGAGGCTTCCTGCTTCCCCCGAGCCCCATAATTTTCCCGCGATTTCTGGGGCCTTTTCAGTCCTAAGAGATAAGCTCTGCAAACACCAGGCAAGAAAAAGTGTTATTGGTCCACCTGAACGGTTGTTTCAGTTCCCACCACAAGGTGGCACTGTGGAACGCTAGTCGGGCTCAGTCAGGTGGCTGTTTCTCCCTAGACGCCCTCGCGGAATTCTGCGTGGAATGTTCAACAAGTATTGATGGAGTGACCATATGTACTCGTAGGACTGGGGATACAGAAGTGGACAAAAGAGAACATATTTGAAACAGGGCATTGGCCTAGAGTCCCCTTTTATATTCTTTCTTGCTAGCAGATTCTAATGATGGCTAAAATCATCATCAAAAGGGACCCCGCGTCGGGGGCTGTTCTGTCATTAAAGGATGTTTGATAGCATTCCTGCTTCTGCCCAGTAGATACCAGTGAACGTCCCCACCCCCTAGTCCCGGTCATGACAAACAAAATGTCTCCAGATATTTATGAATGTTCTCAGAGAGGGTGCAGAATTACCCCCGGTTGACTTGCTGTAAAGGTCATGTTATTCTTGCTAGCAAATGCTCCTGACTCATCTATTATTTGCATAGTCAAGAAGGTCCTCTCAATCACTCAAAACAAATAAAAACCTGCTTCAAGGTGACTTCTCTCTACCTATGGTGAGAAGCAGCTGGACGTTTTCTCTCTCAAAAATTGCACTGAATGACAGTGATAACACTGTCTCCTTTGTCAATAAGTGTATTTCCTCCTCGTTTTCAATGCCTGAATACTGCCACCATGGATTCCCCCAGTCTCCTACTTCTAGAAATTTAGGTTGTATCCACTTTTTTCCTATTATAAGCACTGCTGCAGGGAACAGCTTTGATTGTTAACCTTGGGTACGTCCACGGTGATCTCTGTAGTGCGAATTCGTAGGAGTGGAGTTCCCGCAGCAAAGGGTTTACATTTCTGTATTTTAAGACTTCTGGTGAATGTTACTGTGGCACTTTCCAAAAAGTTTGTACTAACTGATGCCTCTCCCCCTCTTCGACCCCACCCTGGCCCTTGCAGTGCATGATGAGCACTTGAGGTTAGGTTTTTAATTGCTTTTCAGAGTTCCTGTCTTCTCTGCAGAGTTGTGCTGCGGAGGTTGGAAAAGTTCTTATGAAAAAGCCAGACCCCAGGTGTTTGTGTCCCCTGTCCGTGGGCTGAGCCGTCATCCTCTGTGACATCCTGGGCTGGGTGAGACCTTGACAGGGTCTCTAATTTGGTGTTTTTCAAACTTATTTGATCAAGCCGCCCAGTGACAAATGTGATTTATTTCACAACGCTGTACACATGCGTACACGCACACGCACACGTGTGTGCACATTCACATACGCAGCTGAAAGGAGTTTCATGAAACAACACTTGTTCTTCCTGATATTTCACACCTTCTTTTCCATTTTATTCTATGTCCTTTACCAGATGCTGGCAATGACCCACCCCCCTCAGGTCACCCCTCACTTTTGGGCTGTGAGCCATGGTTTGCAAAAATCCCTGATCTAATTGATCTTCCCACCCTTTCCCAGGCCCCTGAGATTCCTTCAACAGTGTCTTCCCTCTGATGCCACCCTTAGAGCCACCGAGACCTTGAAAGCTGTGGCCAAGGGCTGCCTTGTGTCCAAGTTCCTATAGCACTCAGCGCCGAGGTCAGCACGGAGAGAGCCTCAGCTCGGTAAAGACTGTCCACTCAGCTCCGGGTCTCCTTAACACCATATGTCTGTCTGCCCTTCCTCCGTGTAGTGGTGCCACTTTTTACATTTTCATTTTAATTTAAACCTTTTTTAGGGAGTGATTTTTTTTTAAATGGATGCCTCTCTCCCTGACTAGACAAAGCTGCAAGAGGGCAGGGGATCATACCCATTTTTATTCACCATTTTATGCCCAGCTCTACATCTAGCCCATGAGAGAGCCTCAGTAAATATTTCTGAGTCAATACATCTTCCTGGTCATGGATCCTGTGAAAACTCACCAGCAGCTTAACGTGCATAGTCTTTCTCGTGGCTTGCAAAGTACCTCGGACTTTGACTCCCTTATGGAACCCTGCTGATCACACCCCCCTCCCCGCCCCGCCAGCCCTAAATATCCAATAAATCTATTTACTTAGGGCTTCCTAGATCGGCCATGGTTTTTGCATCTTGGTCCCCACCCTTCTGCCTAGAATTCCCTTCCCCTTTCTCCTCCTGGTGAATCCCTACTCATCCTCGGGTCCAACTCCTGCCTCAAATCTCTGCACTTTCTTAAATGAACGAATGGATGGTTCTACCACTGGCTGACCATGGCTTGCAGCGATTGTCCGTTTCCTTGTCTCCCTCCCTCGTCTGACTGTGCCCTCCCCGAGGCAGGCGTGGTGTCCCACTCTTCACCCCTCTAGTGCCAGCACCTGGCTCAGGTGTGTTTGTTGAAGGTCGTTCGGGAAGGCTGCCCGACGTGCTTGCCACTGATTTCCACCAGAGGGAAGCAGTGAGCCATCTCGACTGAGCCTTGCTTCAAATTCTCTTTACTCCAGACATTATCATTGGTTCCTTGAAGCTTCAGACTATCTTGGGAGCTAGATGGTTCTTGTCATTTCCTGCCCTTTATCTTCACCAAAAATATTACCTCGAATTAGGGGAAAAAACTAGTGTCTTTCCCACCAGACTCTTGTTGCTTGACACCACATCCGTCTTGGTTGCCCCAGCTGTCAGCCGGAAAGCTGGGGTCTCCAACAGGGACGACATCAGATATTTAAAACTCAGGTGTGTAGTGGGGACTAAAGGCGTGTTTGTTAAGTATTGAATGGATACAAGTTGTAATGAGAAGCTCGTATGGGAACCACGCATGTGGAGACAAGGACGTTTATGTCTGGCCAAGAATGGCTGTTGCTTCTGTTGATGTCTCTTTCGTGGAGGATGGGGCAGCTTGATTTTAGAGCTGTTAACTCTAACTGTAGTTTTCTCCTTGGGTTTTGTGGATGTCTTTATTCCCAGTGCCCAAGGGACCCCAAAGACAGGAAAGCTGAACCCTTTCCTTTTCCTCACGGCTTCTTGATCAGCCTTAGCCTGAAACCAAAGAATACTCATCATTCCTTTTGACAAACTCAAGGGGCTCCGAAGCCAGGATATCTTAACCTTTCCTTATCACATGAGCGATGGCCCGAAACCAAGAAACACTCATTCACTTATTTAACAAGATGTATCGAATGCCCGCAGTATGCCAGACACTGTTCTGATCTCTGAACGTGCATGCCTAGATGTCTGTCCTCATGGAGTTTGCATTCTAGTTGGGGAGACAGGCAATAAATTATAATCATAATAAGCACTTATAGTGTGTTCAAATAAGGGCTGTGGAGGAAATAAAAATTTGAGCAGGTGAAGGGGGTCATCCATGTCCTCTGGGAATGGGGGACAGGTTGTCCTATTAGGAAGAGTGGTCAGGCCTCCATTCTCTTCACTGTTTTCCTTTTCGCTTTCGCCTTCTCAATCCTCCATCGTCTGCTCAGAGCATGGAATGTGGCACCAGGCAAACCTAGGTTCCAGTTCTGGGTCTGCTGCCTGTCAGCTGTGTGGTTTTGAGCTACGTGTCTTGTGATTCTGAGCTTAGTTTCCTAAGCAGTAGGATGGGGCTGATGGTCATTTCCACCCTGCTGGTTGTGGGGTGAATTAGATGAGATGATGCAGGCAAAGCACAGTCCTGACCTGGATTAGTGCGTAGTAACTCTTGTTACCAGTTCTGTTGAAATTATCATCATCAGCAGCAGAAGTACTATCCCCCCATCCTACAGTCACCATCATCACCATTCCTACTCCAGTTGCCCCCACCATCAGCACCACCACCATCTCCATCACCACTATCACCATCCACCATCACCACCATCACCACCATCACCGCCATCACCGCCATCACCGCCATCTCCATCACCACCATCACCATCACCCCATCATCTCCATCATCATCACCACTATCACCATCACCATCATCACCAAAACCGCCATCATCTCCATCATCATCACCATTATCACCATTAACCATCTCCATCATCTCCATCACCACCATCACCACCATCATCACCATTATCACCATCATCATCACCAGACCCTCTAGACTTTCTCTGCCTCCAACTCACTGTTCTCCATCCTCCTCTTTTTTTTTCCCTCCAAAGGGCCCTTGGGCTTCAGTTTTCTAATT